ATGCAGAGGAACTATACCATCAACAAAATGAAAACTTTTGCAGGTATTATGAATATTTATGAATATTCTTACAAAAGATCCAAGTCTGAGTTAGAATTCTTAAATGAGGACCCACCAGTTGTTGATCAATGATACTGTCTGCTCCCATTTTTCTCATTCTGAATAATTCTCCTCTATCTGAATAATATCCCTTTTTTAGGAAGGTTCTGTGTGTTTGGAGGGAGAACACTGTGTTGATGGCAGAGGTCAGGCTCATGGAGCACAGAGCACAGAATCACTTTGAACATCTCCTTCAGCTAAAGGTTGTAGAGCAGTCTGGTGCCCTCATGTGTAAACATGCACTCATTCATTTTGACAGTGTCTTTACTGATTGCTTTCCTCTGCCCTGAATGTGTCAGGTGTTTCTTGCCTGGAGAAAAGCTACAACACGTGCAGTTTCAAAGCGTCTCCAGCAGAGGGAGGCAGTTAGCCGGGCTCAGAGGTCTTTAAACGAAGGTATCAAAGACCAAATGAAGTACACTCTCAACTTACCTTCATTATTATTTGATTTACAGACATGGAAAGTAAGTGTGGATTTAAGTTTCACTGATGCAGTTCAGTGATTCTTGGTCTTACTGCTGATTGACCAAATTGATGCACAATACTACACTGGCTATAATAAAAGAACACTAACATTTAAAATGTCATTACATTCTTCTTCCAAATGTCTTTCATATTGAGCTTATATACTATGTTTCATTTTTCTTAGAGATCAAGCATGTGTCTTTCCCCCACTCAATGTTTCCTTAGTGCAACTGCTGCGGTCTCTCAGACAGTGGAGGAAGCAGACTAGGGCAGCTCGGAGGGAGAGGATCTGTATGGAAAAAGCCAGACGGCACCATGAGTCCAAACTTCTCTCTAAAGCTATGAAAGCATGGAATAAGCATCACTGCCAGTGGCGTCAAAATAAGGTCTTACCATCATTATTTGTGAAACTATGAAGCACCATTGTTGTCTTGATGCTGTCTTCAAAATGTCTTCAAAATGTAAACATGTTATTCTGCAGGTTATGAAACGACAGGGGGTTTTGTTGCTGAGGTTGAAGATGTACCAGACATACTTTGAACAGTGGAGAGTGAAGGTTTGTTAATACTTCATTTCATCAAAACATTTCTGTGGACAGTTACTCTCTTTCATCTGAGTCAGTTTCCTTTTCTCAATGCATGCTAGATACAGATAGACGCAAGTAGAGCGTCTAGCCCTCTATTGTTTTTAAGAAGTTGTCACTTAAAATCCATTAAAGAGAAGAAGATTGGTCTTTTTTCATTAGCATAATGCAGCCCTGTATGGAACATAGGCATGATCTGTAACAAGGTCAGGCTGATAGATGTAGTTTGATTTAGTGCAGTTGAACTGTTGACCAGATTTTGGTTTCCTTCCTGCCCACAGCTGCGTCACAGACACAGAGAAGCACAGCAGACTGAGCGAGCGCTCTGGCACTGGTCCCTCTCTCTCCAGGCCAAGGTGAAACCTGTCCACACATTCTTCTCTCGCTGATTAATCGAGCACTGAACCTGTAGATTTGACGCCTACTTGTTTATCGTGATGTTGTTTTGTGAATCTTCTGCAGATGTTGTGTGGATGGAGGCTATGGGTCACAGAGCAGCGCAGGAAACAAGAGCAGGTGGCCACAGCTGCCAAGGTCTACAGAGACCAGCTGCTGAGAGAGGGTGTGACATGCATCCTCACGTATGCTTCTCATATGAACGAACTCACAACAGGCCTTATTCAACCATGCCAAGATCATGTGGGTATCTGTGTTTATGTATTTTGTGTTTTTTTCAGACATTTAATTTGAGTGTCAAATAAAGTCTGGTGTTTTCCTGCAGAGGTCGAAACATCTCCAGAGAGTGGTGAAGCGTTGTGCTCTGAGGTGGAAGCAGCGAGCTCTGAGTAAACCACAGAGGGGAAAACAGGTCAGAGATCAGCTGCCTAAAAAGAGTGTTACCTTCTGGTTGCCTGGGTCAAAGAGTGTTTCCCTGACTCACTCAGTGGAGCAGGAAGCTGAGGAAGGAGAGCTGAGAAAGCTGTGAGTCTGAGCCCCTGACAGGCTGTGAATCTGTGTGCAACACATGGAATATCAATCTTTCTTCTAAGTCTTTTTTTTTTTTTTTTTTTTCAGTCTTCTCAGCCGTACACACCGACGTCAGCCCCGTCGCCGCGAAGACCTGTTCACATCTCCAGTGAAGACAAAGTACTACTACCCTTTTTCACCTTAAATGAAGAAACACAAATAACAGATTTCAAATGGGAACATAATGTAAAAAAAATCCTCAATACACTGACAAAAGCTTCTTCTCTTGATTCCTAGCCATCAGAAGCATTCTGTTGCAGTCTCAAAACCCTCACAGTTCAGTCCAGAGGAGCAGAGTCTGACAGGTCGTCCTGCCTACATCATGCCAAAGTCCCAGTCACCTCCACACATCAGAGCTTCAGCATATCTAATGTGCCAACCTCTATAACACAGGTTTCAACTGAGAACTGTTCTCAGGCAAACCAAGACATTCTTTTACCCCCCTCTGCTTTCATGACCACTGGGACCGACAACACGGTAACGACCCACGTATGTCATGATGATGATTCAATTCTGATTCAAGTGACTTTAGTTATATTTTATTGTTTGTTGTGGTTTTTTTTTTCAGTTTGGGAAGACAGATAGTGCAGGTGTTGTCCCTATGTTTTATAAACTCTCATCAGTTTTACCAGGTATGCTTACGGAATATAATAAAATGATTATTTAGATTGGGTTATGCTGAACTAAAACCATTTTTTTGCTGTGCTCTTCTTCAACACAAACAACTAATAGCAGTCAGTAGAGAAAGTCTCGAAGAGGCATCTAAAGATTCAACTGCAGCTCTGACCAGAGAACTCCTCAGCATCCAGCTGGACATGAATACATACCAACAGGACAGGAAGCAGCTCAGGTCAGATATCTGCAAAGATATTTTTTCTTAATGTACAACAACATGTCTGCATAGTAACTGGTGTGTGTGTGTGTGTGTGTGTGCACTCAGGGCTTGGCAAAAACTGACAGAGGTGTTACGAAGTTGGCTGCAGACCAGTGGAAAGGACGAACAAATGGAAAAGACTGCTGTTTGTGAAGAGCTCAAGGAAGTAAGAGGACAAATTGTTGATTTATTTTATTAACACGGTTCACAGTTGAGTTTTAGACACCAGCATAGTGTTAGAAAATTGTAATCAAGTGTATCTTTTGTTTAAATATTTTGAAACAGATTGCATTATAATCCATCAAAACATTAATCATAAATGCAAGAGTTCTTTTAAAAATCAAACTTTACTAATACTTGTTTTGATACCATGGATACCAACACACAATGAGTTCCTGTCCACACAGAATTGGGTAATTTCATATCGTCATTACCAACCTGCAAACAGCTGATCAAGAAAAAGTGACTGAACACAAACAAACATCTGACATAAAATGTGAAGGCAATACTTCACATTGCTCTCCGTCTGTTGGCTACTTACTAACATAACTCGTGCCTCTCATGAGACGCCAAAGAGACTTTACAAGACAAATGCTGACCTGTTTACTGTGTTGTAGTTGTACAAGTTTTGCAGGTGTGTGGAGGGTGTAGCAGAGAGGCAAGTAGGCCTGCAAGGTGCAGCTTCAACTACAAGCAAACAAAAAAAACAACTCCTTCATGCACGTTTGTGTGCAACTGTGGAAGTTTTATTAGTTAGAAAGTAACAGCTGTGAAATAATCCAAAATGACATCTTATTTTTCTGATTCCCTGCTTTGTTTTCACATAGTGTTCATTCTCTTAGCCTTCTCTTTCTGTCGCTCGACCACTGTTGCTCTATCTTTCCCTCATGTCAGCTTTTAGTTTAAAATATGACTAGATCTTTTTTCATTAGCTTTGGTGCTTTTACTGAGATTGTATCATTTTAAAGAATGTGGAATTAAACAATATAGCAGTATTGTAAATGTTGAATGATGAGTGGATATACATTTAAGTGTCCTGGTTTCTTTTATTTTGAAAAGAAATGGGGCTCCTGAGGCACTGGTCATTAGAAAAGTTAACCACAGCTAATACTCAGATGACCTACACGGATGTTTTACATTCTGCATGCATTCTTTTGATGTCTTATTTGAACCATAAATCATGGGCTGTGAAAAACTCGGAGGTCACTTGAGGGTATACCATTTTTAATCACTGACACAGTTCTCTTTACCCAAGTCTCAGTTTTTTATTTGTTATATATTGGCAGTTGGAGGAGCGCATCTACAGTCTCTCCACTGACTTGGGAAAACGGAAACCAACGATGCAGCTTCATGCACAGAGGATCCAACATTTACAGACTGTCCTTCAGGCTTCAGGAGTTCCTCTTCTCTACCAGAAAGCAGAGGACGTACTGCGTTTACAGCATGGCGGGGAATAGTGCTTTTTCATGCTGTTGCTCATGAGCTTTTATTTTCCTTCTGGTAATACCAAAAAAACATACTCAAGAATTGTGAAGAAAACTTTTAACCAGCTGTAACACACTGTAGCATATATATTTTTTTGCTTGCTTATTTGTCAGATTGCCCTTTTGGAACTCTTCTGCATTGAAAATGTGGAGAAAAAAATGATTTGTTTAATTCCATAAAAAGTTATTTCTTCATGTTATTTTTGATATTGAACCTGACTGAGCCTGTCCAGAAAGATAAAATAAAAACATCCTTACAGCAGCTTCCACCGCTACATCTACTCTTGAGATCTACAAAAACTTAAGAATGGGGTCGTACTTGTAACACATGGTGCTAAATATGATCCATATGTGGGAAAGAGTGACTTAACTGTTTTCTGAGGAGCTGGCTTGCGCAATACATTTTCTATTTATCCGTCAGTACAAGTGCCTCTAATGCTCTGGGAAGTCTAAGCAGGAGTATCAAGGATTTGAGACTACCAGAAAGGACAGCTGTTTGTTGTGCTCTGCAGGCTTCTTTATACAGACTTGAGATACAGTGGAGCAGAATGCGAGGATTTATTGCCATTTTTCTCTTTTCCACATTTGTCTGCTGCGTCAGGGGTAAGGTTTGTTACTGAACTAGATTAATGGAACTTCATTAAAAAAGTTATTTTTTATAAGAACATTTTCACTCTAGTTGTGTAAAACATTATTTTTTTGAGGTGAGACTTTTTGCTGATAAAATTGATCTTGATTCAATTATATAAAATCTTTTCAAGTTTACCTCAATAAAAAATTAAATTGAGATTTTCTGGATTAATATGCGCAAAGAGAAATGCATCAGATACTTAAACCTTACTGTGTAGCCTACTCGAATATATTTGTCTTGTGTTTAACTGGTGTGAACTGCTAAAATGTCCCCTACATGTTAGCTAAGAAGACGCGGTGGTGCACAGTATCTGATCCTGAGCACAGGAAGTGTGCAGAGCTTGCCAAAGCTCTGGTGGCAGTGCTGCCGCCCGCCGCCGTGGCTGCTTTTGCCAGACTCTCCTGCATCCGAGCGTCCAGCACAACAGACTGCATCGATAAGATCAGGGTGAGCACTGCTTCAAATCAAAGGACATTATTGCAGACAGAAAGTGTGCAAAGGAAAAAAACAACTGTTGCAAATACAGCTACATTACATTATGTTTGACTTTTTGTTTTTAAATGCATATTTGAGCCCTTATTTAATCATTGGAAAATACTTTTTCTAGGAAATATGCTGAGTAAAGACCCCCTCAGCAAGAAGTTGGATATTTTCTAAAATTGAGATTGAAATCTCACTCAGAACATTTTAATTTTTTAGGATAATTAAAGTCAGACACATTTGTTTGGCATTATACTTGACAGTTAATTGATATACAAGCCAATTGAAATATTTTTCAGAGGTCAGAGGTCATTCTGTTATCGATAATGTGCTAAAGGTATCCACTAAGCAGGGCATTTTAAAAATGTAATTACTCCATGTAAACAAGTCTGTAATTACAATACTTTCTCTATAAAACCTTGTACATTGCAGTAGCTGTAATGTATTGTTCTTTATCAGCCACCATATAGGCCAGAAGCAAGCAGATCTATCAGTTTAGACTAGAGCAAGCACTGTTTTTCTTTTTTTTCTTTTTTTTTTTTTTTTACAAAGACATCTGCCACAAATAAATGAATTAGCCTCCAAATAGTGTGTGGTAATGGAAACCCTTCCCTGATTTAATTTGATGTTTTACATTTGCAGCTGTGTTGCATGGTAATGTTAACTAATGCTGTAATCTGTTATGTTGTAACTCCATCATCATCTGGAAAAGTGAAAGGCTTTGTCTATGACATAATGATCTTAACATATCTGTTCCAGGTGAATTTTTAATAAGTCTTTATATGAACCCTTCAACAGCACTATCGTAAGATCTGACTCCGTAATACTTTTTTTCTGTTTCAGGCTAACCGTGCTGATGTAGTGACGTTAGATGCAGGAGAAGTTTACTCCGCTGTGAAGCAGTTTGGGCTTGTTGCCATAGCAAAGGAGATATACAGTGAAGGTACGTTAACGTCACATTTCTGAGACTCTTCACTATGTCTCTGCAGCTTTGGTTCCTGAGTTAGATTTACTGTCTTTGTCCATGTGTACCTTCCTGTAGGAGGCTGTATTCTGTCTGTTGCTGTGGTGACAAACAGCAGTCTGGACATTCGCTTCCTTCAGGGCCACAGGAGCTGTCACAGCGGGGTTCGATGGACTGCTGGATGGAGTCTTCCTCTTGGCTTCCTGCTGTCCCGAAACTACCTGAGCTGGTCAAAGGAGCAGCCGCTCAGTCAGGGTAAAGAAGTGACCCTTCTGTGTGGAAGTTTCTTCCTCTTCTTCTCTATTTTTTACCCTACTGACTTGTTTTTCTCCTCTTGAGCAGACGTCAGTACCTTTTTCAGTGGCAGCTGTATTCCTGGAGCTGCAGCCATTGCTCCTGCTCTTTGCGCTCTGTGCCAGGGCCAGAAGTCCTACATCCGCCAGAAGAACTATCATTGTGAAACATCCCACAGTGAGCCCTTCTACAACAGCCAAGGAGCCCTCAGGTAAGGCATATAAACAAGCTCTCAGCCTATAGTGCACATTTGCAGTGATAGAAAAATACCAAAATGTCAAAACAGCATAGACACTGACATCCTCTTTGATTTGCCTCAGATGCCTGAGGAGCGGGGCAGGAGATGTTGCATTTGTGGACCACTTAGCTCTTGAAAGCATTGAAGGTAAACTATCTTCTATTAGACTTCTGTAAGAACTTCTGTACAACTTTCAAAACCTGGTGGCATTGGGGTTTCAGATACTGACCAAGTTATTGCAGAAAGTCCAATTTTAGTCTAGTCAGCTTTTTGGGTTTAAACAAACTTTTCTTTTATTAATAATAATAATAATAATAATAATAATAATAATAATACATTTAAATTATAAGTGCTTTTTTTCCCGAATTTCCCCTCTGGAGACAATAAAGTATTATCCTTTTCAAAAACTCAAAGACACTGTTTTATGTTATGGAATGATTTGTAGCAACTCAGTGGTTTGTTGGTCAGGACAGCTGAGCACAGACAAAGAGTTCCAGTCCAGCATTTTATTGTTCAAATGATTTAAACTTTTTCTTCTAGCAAAAAAAGGAAAAGGGGGTAACAACTGTTTTTGTCTATACGTCATCATTTCTGAAACATAATCATATCTCACAAAGGGTAATTGTCAAAATAAAAACAGGTAAATCTAGGAATAAAGATAAAACTTGACAACAACAATCAATAACTCAGTGCAGTACATTGAGTACATACTAATGCTTTAAAGGGTGTAACATCTGTATTCTGACATCTCTTTTTTCATTTTCGGATTGTTTCTCTCAGGCAGCGAGAGAGACCAGTTCAGGTTACTGTGCACAAACGGCACTCAGGCTCCTCTCAGCCAATACAGAACCTGTCATCTGGGTCGAGGTCCAGGTGCCGGCATGGTCACAAGATTTAACTTCCGGAAGATCGCTCGCAGATTTCTAACGACAGTGCAGGTGCAGTTACACACTTTGTTTTCATGTAGTTGTCTTTTTACGCAAATAAAATATTCTTCGTCACTTTGTAGATGCTGTTTGGCCTACGAGGAAGGGAGAGGCAGCGCTTCCAACTCTTCAACTCATCTGCTTTTGGAGAAAACGACCTTCTCTTTAAAGATGTGACGGATAAACTTGCTATACTGGTAGACGACATGGACGTCAGTCAGGTGCTGGGGCTGGATTATGTGGCTCTCCTCAAAGGTCTCGGACATGAAGGTACTGGCAAATAATAGTGTGTGGATGTTACTTTTTTCATTCAAATCAGACTGGCTTTGATTTATTGACAAATTTTAAATTTGCATTATTGTAGGAAGCTCCCTTGAGGACAGTGTTGTGCGATGGTGTTGTATCAGCCATGCAGAGCAGATGAAATGTGAGCAGTGGGCTCTCAATATAAAGTCTGACCCCCTGGTGTGTGTCAGAGCTGTCTCAATGCGCGACTGCATTGAGAAAATTAAGGCAAGTCATTTTAGTCGGATGAATCCCAGGTTGCTGGGAAATCAAAGTTTGACAACACATGAAAAAACATCTAACCTGACAACATCACATGTTTTGCTACAGAGGGACGAGGTAGACGCTGTCTCTCTGGATGCCACTCACACTTTCATCGCAGGGAGATGTGGTTTGGTCCCTGTGGTCACAGAGTATTATGGTAAGACTATCTTCTTCTAGAGCAAAAGTCTACGCTCAGATTTTGTTTTTGAGCACACAACAGAGACAAAAGGGCCTTTTAACTGTGTATTTGAATTTTCTCTGTTGCCATCAGGACGTCGTTATGTTTTACTTGTGTTTTCTTTTCCTTTTTTTGTATGCTTTGATTTGTTTCCTCTGTGTTTTCTTTGGACTCTCAGAGAAGGACAGAAAATGTGTGCTTGCTGAAGGATCGACCCATTTAGAGACAGATGGTGAGGTAAACAAGCAATAACCCTGGCAGCTTATGTGATTAATGACTTTACATCAAAAGTGTCTCTCTCTCGCTTTCCACAGTGCTGCCCTTAGTGGTGGCTGTAGCAGTGGCAAAACGTTCCAGCAAGAATGTCTTTATTGGAAACCTGGGAGGGCGTCGTTCCTGTCACGGCCACATGTACAGCCCGGCAGGTTGGCTGCTGCCATACAGACACACACTGAGCCTGGAGCACAACAGCAGCTCCCCCTGTGATCCAAACCAAGGTACTGCCACAACAAAGTTTACACTTTGTATTTAAACTGGCAGCAATCATGTAAACACGTGACTTTCTGAGACACACAATAAAGGGATGTACATTTTAATGTACATATTATTACACACATGGTGTCACTTTCTCGTCTTTGTCTCCTCAGTTTACAACAACGTGTTCTGGAAAGGCTGTCTTCCTGGTTCTCAGGGCAATCTGTGTAAAGTGTGTATGGGAGGTACGGGGGAGGCAGCCACCAAACGATGTGCTGACAATCACAATGAGCGTTACTACGGCAACATGGGGGCGTTAAGGTATGGCTTACTTTAACATGTTATTGCTGCAGTGGCACGTACTGTATACAGAGTTTTATTGAAAACTTTAACAAGCATATTTTTCTGACTGATGTTTGTGGGTGTAAACCATTAATTTCATTTTGGTTTTATTTGTCCTGGTTCCAAAATATGTGTATTTGAGATTAGCTGCCACCCTAATACATCTGATGTAAAATGACTTAGTTTATGATACTCACAGCTTTTAATAAAAATGTATAGATGAAAGTGTTTTGGCCCCTTGGGAGCAGCTGTGAACACAACATATATTTTTATTATTCTTTTATTATAAGGCTGTGTTAAATACTTGATTCTGATTGGCAAATTACGAAATGATCTGCTATCCCTCAATGCGTCACTATTATTAAGAAGAACAAATCGTTAAAGTGGACAGTTACTACGGAAACGGCTCTTATCACAGACTCTGTAGGATTAACCTTAATAATGTCAATCTGCCAAACAAATACCGAATAATTTGACGTTTGTTTAATGCGGGCAAAGTAGAAAAGAGAGGATGACAACGGAGGAAAGAGGTTAAAAGACACAGGAACTGCAGGTTATGACAGAAAAATCTACAAAGCTGAAGATGGCACATGAAGATAGAACAGGGCAGATCATGGTAAGGTATACATAGATGTTTTAGAAACTGGGAAATAAATGAAAATGTCACTAAAATCCCTGACAAAGCAGAAAAACTCAACCAGGTCCTGTGCTGCTTCACATCGACCTGTTCACCTTGTCTCACTTCAGCATCAGTGAAAATGTTCAGTTTAATGTGAGAAATGGCGGCTTAATCCGCTCATTTTATGAAGGATACGGAGTTAATTGTTGCTATGGACGCAGCTCTAACTGTAGATTCCAAACGACTATCTGTTAAGCAGAAGAAATCAATCATTTTTAAGTCAATAAAATTCCAAATCAGTATTTTGTTTCAGATTATTGATTTCTTTTGTAAGTGGCCGTGTAACAATCAGGAAAATAAATAGTAGGCGGATTGTTGTCCCGGAGGAACTCCTTCAGGTCAAATGAGAAATACTGTTGTCTTGCTCACCCTGACCCTTCCATTCTGCGAATAACCCACTAACTGTAACTATGCATTATTCCTTACATAAGTCATGTTACACATTGATATGGAAAAACACTTACAGTGGAGTAGTTTGTTCTTTGATGCTGAGCTAGAGCTGATCTATTATTAAAAACAATGGCTAACAGCGCTCATGGTGACAAAAAACAAAAATGTAGCTTAGAGATGGATAAATAAATAGATAGGTAACTTTATTGATCCCAAGGGAAATTCAAAGCATCCAGTTGCAGTTTCCAAGAAAACGCATGATGCATGACAGAGATGTTGAATTTGGGGGCGGATTAGGCCTACACTTTATCAGTTGTTGAAAGACAGAAATTAACAGCATTGGCACTTTCCATAGACAGTTGCCTTTCTATCGTCACTAATCTGCAAATATTATGTCTATTTATGTCGTGGAGAGGGACTGTTTTTTGTTGTTGAAAATGTGTGTAATAATTTGGCTGAAATGACTCTTAAATCTTATACTTATAAAGGTGTCTGGTTGGAGATCCCAGTGGTAAAAGCTACGGTGATGTGGCCTTCCTTGAGCAGCACAACCTTCATGACAACATCCTCAGTGAGGTTTTCAAGACGAAGTTATGACCTGAAAACTCACACTAATGTATGCTTATTGTATCTCATTGTCATGCTTGACCTTCTCAGGTTTGAGCTCCACTGGTTGGGCAGAGGGCTGGACGTCATCAGACTTTGAGCTGCTCTGTGGTGATGGGCGTCGGGCTCCACTGTCAGAGTGGGAGAGCTGTAACCTTGGAGTTGTCCCTCCAAACACCGTCATGACGCGACCTGTGTTAACAGCGAGAGTGTATGACTTCCTGATGAAATCACAGGTCAGGGTTTAAAATCAGGGGTTCTTCTTTCCACTGTAGTTAACGCTTTATGTTTTTATTTTAAAGAAAAAAAAGGGGTTTTTTTAGATATAAAAAAAAAAGTAGCCACACAACATATTTTCATGAGTAGTCTGAAATGAGCTCAATTTGATTTAAGTTTGTAATTACCAAATTAAATCAGTGTATTTGTATATTTACTCTTCTAAAGCTTTATATTCTAAACAGATACGTTTCAACAACCTTACAGGAAACTTTGACAGCTAACCCAAACACTGAGTTTAAGCTCTTTGAGTCTCAGCAGTACGGAGAAAGTGATCTGCTGTTTAAAGATGCAACTCAGTGTTTGGTCCACACGAGTCACATGACCTCCCAATCCATCCTCGGAGACGAGTTCTATAGTCACGTAGAAAGTGTCTTTAACTGCACACGCTCTGGTAAGATCTTGATCACTGGCCAACACCTGTTTTTCAAAATCAAAAACAAAGCAACTATCACAGATTTTAGTAGTTCTAATGTTTACATCTGTGCTTCTCATAACAGATATCCTGGAGTTTTGTGACCAGGATGTGTGCAGCATTTTCTAATGGACGTCATGGTTATGTTATTCAATCCCCCATCCACAAACTTGTTTCATCTTAACAAGATTACTTCAAAGCACAACTGGTGTCATCTGGTCTAACATCAAGATCAGAATTGAGTATAAAAGCTGAAGTGGCTTACCTTTAAAAAATAAAATAAAAATGTGTCTTTACCCATTTCTGTGCATGTTTCCTTGATTCCTAAAGATAATAGAAAGTAATTATGTAGCTTTAAAATGCCATATTTACTTAGAATTATGGAAAAAAAACTTGAGTTGCAGAGGAGGAAGTTATATATTAAGATTTGAATACAGTTGTAATTAAATGTCAAAGCTATACTGTTTCATACAAAGAACCTTCTGGTGTGTTTACAGAATATGAGGATTGGAGCTTTGATTTGAATAATTACATAAAAACTTTGTCCATCACAGGAACACAAATTGTTACTGCAGCACACTTAGATTTGTATATTGTATATTAAACAAGTGCTTAGAGGAATATGGTTCAAAGTCCAGCCAAGCTGTCGTTGCCATTTACTACTTAAATCTCACATTAAACACATTATACAACATTGCATATTAGATAAATATAACATCATATCTTATATAATTTATATACTATACGCTTGATACATAAAATCTAATAAACCCATTTAACCGGATCACCTGCACAGACGCAATGGTTAGCTGCCTCTGGTACTCAGCTGTTCTGACGTCGAGCACGCTATTTGACGTCATCGTGGGAGTGTTCCACCATCGGGAGAAATGAATGGTCATCAACACAATCCTCTCAGCGCCCATGTAAGTTGAAGCCAGCGAAAACACACATTTTACGAAGTGTTTCATGAATGAAATGTGTTTCCATACGCGGTTATCCGATCTGTGCAATGTTTACGGTCGCTTAACGTTGTTTACGGTGTTGTGGCTGCCGCCTGGCGAGCTGCCCTGGTCGCCTGTAGCTAAGCACGGCTTGTTGTTTTAGCTACAGTCTAGCCAGCCTGCTAACTGACAGGCGGAGTGGTCAGGCGGCTAGTAAGCGCCTGTTTTTACAACCTAGAGCGATGATAAGAAGGCTTACATGAGAGTTAGTGAAGACGTAGAAATCGTTGTAGTGCTTGTGGGGAGAAAATGAGTAAAGGTTACACTTTGGGGACAACACCCAGGCCGGATTCAGTGACATTATCAGAGCGCTTCCACCAGGATGTGCTAAACAAACTGAACCGAGCTAACAGCTTTGACTTTGTCCTCAGATAAGTTCAGCACGGGTTGATATTAACATTGCAAAATAGGGGACTGTAAGCTTATGCAAACCTAAACTGTGACAACTGTTTTGACTAAATACCCCCATCATGAAAACACAAGACTCCCCAAAAAGGTGTGATTAAGAAAGCCTAGTGGGAGTGTGTGACAGCTTCCAGATACCTGTGATTTAAACTCACCCGGTGTGTTGGAGGTGTTAACACCTGAGTTTGGTTTGAGTGTTGACAGAAGGACAAGGTGCAGAGTTTAATTTGTAATGCTCAATTTGGAGTGTGGCTCATGACATGCACTGATATTTTATATATATATTATAATCAAAAGGTTTATTTGAGGTATGTCAATAGGTCAATCATTTTAATATGTTTTAGGTGATTGTTGTTTTTTTTAATGAATTTGGTCACCATACAGTTTGAGGATTTACTCTCAAGTTGGTTTAAAAAGTCGATACGATGAGCTAACTTCTTCTGCTAACCAGTATAAAGTCTGCCCTCCCTTTTTATTTATCCTGGCAGTAATTCTATAGTTTAACAAATGACGATAAGCTGTCGTTTATTCAAACCTGCGTATCGGTGTTAAAAGAAGCTGCGAAAGAAAAAACGCCTCGCAGCTGCTCAGGTGAGAGAGAGGAGGAAGACAGGTGTATCAGACTGAATACTTGAATCTTTATATGCAGCTTTTAAGCATAGTCACCAGGTGAATGTGACATTTAAGACACACTGGCTCTAATTTGTTCACTAACTATGATAACCCCACGACCCCCCCCCTCCCCCTCCTCTTCACACATCGCACCGGTGTGAGCTCTGGACTACAGCTCCCTCCCTCCGGTGCAATGTGGTAGCTTGTACTGCTATAGCTACAACAAGAGGAGACAGGCCATTAAAACGGAAGCACCGATGTTTCTTTACATCAGCGACTGGCACCGCCTTCTAACAAAACGATGAACTTCTTTATCGTCCTTTTCTAATGTGTCCCAAACTCATGTTTGTTAAATGCCGGGCCTACCAGGTTGGCTAGCAAGCTGCTAATTCCAGCCTCTTCTTAGCTCCAGCTAACGACAGATAAACCGATCGGGCTCAGACCCTGCACAGAGAGAAACATCACTCCTGAAAACAGTCCACTTATTTGTGTATATTAGCGACTTTATCAAATTATCTGCCTTTTTATTTCTAAGCAGACGCTTCACTGTAGTCACATACTGACACAGAATGCACCTGTTACCTAATGAATACATGAAATAATCAACTTAAACTGTGTGCTTATAGTGAGCTCCCTGATGTTAGTGTGTACAACTGAGAGTGATTATTAGAAGAATTGATTTCAAAAGAAACTTTATTAACACCAATAGGTGACATTCACCAAAGGGATGATGCTGGGCTCATCGTAATGTGACTGTAACCGTGTTTTCAAGCAGAGAGCGATTACAATAGGTCATACATGTTAAGTTTTTATGGTCACAATTAATTATTTTATGTTCATAGTGGCTCTACATTGAAAGCAAACGGTGCATGACCTGCACATTTTCCCAAGGGGGCTTTTTGGTGCAATTAATTAACATTACACAAGTAATTAATGTAAAAGCCCTTGGAGGCCTGTGCTGTACAAAAATAGAAGTGTTTTGATTTTCCCATTTTATTCACACATTTTCAACAACCTCACTTCTTGCCCGACAATGAATGCTGCTGGTTAGATTTCTGTCCAGCTTTATCCCAGCTTGCTCTGAAATCATGCAAACTGAGCCAACAATAACATCACAAGATCCAAGCCCCCTACAGTTTTTGGAGCCGAGCACTTTAGTTGCACTTCGCTGACATGGTCCCTTTGCAAAAAACTTCAGGGCATGAAGGGACACACCTGGCTTTCCTCTGGTCTAAGAACCGATTGGTTAATAAATCAGATCATCAACATAATGTTTTATTAAGTCACTACTAAAACAGATTAAGATATTATTTTCCAGATTGGGACTTGTCAGTAAGGGACGCTAAATACAATCAGTTTATGTGACAGTTTCAAAGACTTTATGTATGAATTTTGCAAAATGTGTACACAATTTAGTTTCACAAGCAGGTAAACAAACTTTTTTGATGGGTTGCTCAACTGGGGCCCAGACCGCAGGGCCGGCATGAAGGTCGTGTGCATACTCTCAAAGGATCATCGTTTATTTACCTTTACTGTGCCCACTACTTCATTGCTACTTCTAACATTAAAATGGGCTATCTGAAATATGTTGTGGTTTCATTTGAATCTTTTTTTTTTTAAGTAAATGCACTGTTGAAATCAAACAAAACTGTAAATAAGAATAAAACAATTGATTGATTTTTTTTCCCCTGGTGACGATGCCACTACCCCTAACTTTGAGGAAACACTGAGACATCATGTAATGTATGATAGTCCTAGTCCAAGGTATAACTTGTAAAAGTCTCATGTAGTGAAACAAAACCATTGGTAACAATTAGAATGTGATAAAACATCAAATTAAAATGGTCTTCTCAACGATCTGTTTCTCAGACTTTCTTTCCTCTGCTTGTTTTCTTTGCAGCATGTGATTTTTCTAAATGTCCACGGAAACAGCTGACTAAAGTTCAACAGCTATCCGTCCACACTTCCATTTGTGAGAGTAACCCAGAGGAAGCGGACTTCAAAATTCCCTTGGATTACGCCTTTTCATGTAAATAGATCCACAACAGATCATCTGCGGATGACCACACCTGAATGTAAGTTTATACAAGCACTTTGACTCTTGCTGTGTTTTGTGTCCCTCTATAATAACCTATGAAATTTCATTTTAGTTTCAATGAGCCATACTATTATGGCCATTAATTCAATTGTGACTAATAATGGAATGTTATTGTATTTTCAATTCTCAAAATAAGCATGAAGTCTACTGTATTCACTCTTAAATAAATGTGAAACAAATCAGTGCTAAGCTGAGGGCTTATTTGCAGAGGTAATACTGCATTAAAAGCATCAAATGAAACACTCTGCTTCTAGATGCATGCTTGCCATGAGGCTGTTTTTGCAAAAAATATTTATTTAACAGATGAAAAGGCTAAAATGCTGCTAGACACACTCAACACTGTAGATGATGTGACCTTGGATCCCTTCAAGTTTACAGAGTGATAGGCAAATGTTGGCTGACCCATTTCCAAGAGAACACTTTGCCCTTAGCCTTGAGGAGTCGCATGCCATTGTAGTTTCAGTGTACATCAAGACTTATAGTCCCATGTCTGTAAAGGATTTTTGATCTGGGGTTGAAAATAACTGTTTTACAAACTAGAAGCTTAGTGTTAATTCAGTAGGCTAACATAGAGCACATGATAATTGACAGCCTCAAGATTATGATCTAAGTCTGTAAGATGAGCACCTTTATTGTTACGTCTAAACAGCAGCTATGCAGACCTGATCCCAGGAGTGAAGGCAAGCCGGGTATGACACAGACTTTGATCCAGAACTTTTTAAGGTGTGTCAAAAATGAAGTTAGTTTTGAGAGATTGCAGTCTTAAGTTACCAGTAGTCAGATTGATCTAACAGTAATTCACTTATAGAAGGAGGGAGGTCACATATCATTCTCTATTGACGTTTTCATTGGTATGGAGTAATAATTAAAACGATTGACTGCAGTAAGTTAGCCCTAATATAATTAAACCGTGTAGCAGCCTCTTTTTAAGCATGGCTTACTGTAGATTCTCTTTTCTTTTTGCACTATTATTCTCACTACCACCTACCCTTTAACATCGTGCTTTCTTTCTTATCCAACAGTGCAGATCTAACAGCAGGAGCAGCAGTAATGAGTCACTGTGTAGCACTAATGGAGCAATTCAGAGGGGTTTTTTGTACTGCTAGATTTTGCTGCTGGCTTGTTAAGTGATACTTTCTAGCTCTGCTGACTCGTGGAATAATTTTTCTGTTTCACTGCAAAATTATCCAAGCACTGCGTAGTCAGACCCATCACTTAAAGCTTGGGATATGTCCTGTGCATAAACACAATGTATATTGTAAAACATTCTGTCTCGATGTTCAATGTTGATTTTCATGCTTAGTGATTATAAGTGTATCTCTGGTTTCATTTAATGAGATGTAATGGAAGAGTTCAGTCCATACAAACAAATTCAACTTTTAATTTATTTTAAGTGCTGTAACTTCTGTGAGCCGGTGTTTTGGGTTTGATTCCCTGTGATTCAAGCATGCAATGACAAAGTAGACTCAAATGAGTGTGTCTGTCTCTGGCTTTTGAAATAAGGACAGCATTATAAAAAATGAGGGAGTCATTTGATTTACAGTAGGTGGTCAATTTCATCAGTGTTAATATATATATATATATATATATATATATATAGTATTTCAAATCACAGCCCAAATTCAGAAACCCCGTTTAATAGAGGGGAAATTAAGGAAAGTAAGCAAAGGCAAACATGTAACTCAATAATACAAATTAAAAATGTTAAAAATACATCGTTTCTGATACATGTGGATTGTAAAGTAAACATGCAGAATGAT